GTATTAATTATTAATTTATTATAATAACGTCCACAATGGTTCATACTTATTAGCTACTTTTTTTTCTCTTTCACGGTTGTCAGGGTCATCAGCGGAATGTCGGCCTTTTAAGAGGACACTATACCCGCATGTGTTGTACCTATCCGTCGTACAAGAGCGTAACATATCAAATTTTAAGTTCATCAGATCACGTTTAGCTCAGTTAGCTTAAAAATTAGAGGGAATTGACCTCTTATTAAAATTAAAGGTAAGTTTATTACGGAGGTCTTCCCGTGGGCTTTTTATTATATTTTAATTTTAAAGAGGATAATGAGTATTTAAAAATTGTAAATTGTTTGTACAACTTAAAATATTCATAACTCTCTTTAAAATAAAAATATAATAGGGGTTAAATATAGTATTTTTATTCCATTAATGCTTTTCTTTTTACTAAATAAATCATTAAAAACATATATTGAAGTGTTAAAAATAATGAATGCAGGTGGAATAAACCCAAAATAATTTGTCTTAGACTTCAAGATATTAATGCGCCAAGGAATAAATATTACATTTCCGACGGCACGAATATAGGGATGCCGTTTTCATTTGGGCCAAGCTTGGAACAGTAAAATTCTAAGCTTAGGGTTTGCACTAGAATTTAATTTTACAAATAATGAATTAGGAAATTCGCTGGTTCATATATTTGGTGTACCATATCTAAACCCAATAGAAGTTGGAGATTGTTTTGTAGATAGTTTCATGGCTGAAAATCAAAAATAATAAAATTAATGAATTTTGCAATTATTCAGTGACTAATTACATCGAAGATGTAATACCCCTAGTATTTGCAGGGCTAGTGCTAGTTCTGATACAAGTCTTACTACAAACGCTTGCGAAAGTTTCCATTCCAAATTCAACTCACATTTTTATCAACGTCATCCTAATATATACCTATATTCAAAATAGTAGAAGTTTTGAAAATGTTTCAAACAAAAACATATATAAAGATAAAAACATCAGATTTAAATTTAAAAAAAAAAACAATAACAAAATACTAAATTGTAACTTAAAAATAATTACACAGTATGACTGTGAAGTGTTTGAGCTTTTGCAATAAGCCAAATAAAATTTGATTGGACTATACCTATTACGCATTATATTATTAATTTTTATTATATATTATATGGACTAGATTTAATTACAAATTGGATTAGAATATTTTTAATGCTATATAAAAACAAACAAATTTTAACCACACCAACTACGTTTAAGTTGTCAGCCCTACGTCTGAATAATGTGGGAAGGAAGTTTGTACTCGATATAATTTTTTTTTTCGTGTTGTGACTTATTACGGTATTAACACTACCGCCAAAATTAAAATTGAAAATGTCTGTCGATATCTTAAAACAAATTAAAATATTGTAAAAATTTGATCAAGTATAATATGAATTGATGAAATAAACATATGGTGTAAATTTTAAGTGTTTACAGTAATTCGTGTTTGAATTACAATAAAATAAGAAAATTGACTGAATATCCAATATTGTAAAAATTTCAACTCCAAACGCTCATAAAAATTTAATCTGCCATTCCGGTAGAAATTTTTTTTTGATAAAGATAGAAAAACTTGTGAGGAATCTTGTATTAGAAATCTTAGATATCAAAAGAAAATTTTTTATTAATTTATAACTCAAAATAATTATGTGCATGAAGTTGGCCCGACTTTGTCATAAAGACTCCAAATTAGTGCCAATATATAGCAACCTTTTAGCAACTTTTAGCAACCTACTTGAAAAAATTTGCAACCTCTTTTTTTACTACTTTTATCGGGAAACAAGTCCGAGGTTGCTATTTTGTTTTGTATCGAAACTTCTAAACAAATGTATTTAAGGACGTTCCACAATATTGATTGTGTAGTTGTTATTTTTATGTGGTGCAACTATAAAATAATATGACTTCTTACATTCATTTTCAAAACTTGTGGGTTCCGAAAAGCCTGGCACAAAGGACTTAAAAAGTCAAGTTAATTTTTAACTTAACCGATTTGTATTGATATGAACATAACAACGAATGAATTATTTTTAATCAAATTCAATTTTCGTTGATTTATAATTTATATTTATATCATTAAATAGCAAATATAATAAAAATATTATTGATGCATACTACAGAAGGAATTATCTTTTATTATAATGAATCATATTCCTATTTATGTAAAAAATAATTATAGTAAGTAATAACTTAACCAAAATTAAATATTAAGTTAATTTAAAGTTTCCATGTAAGTTTAACAACTGAGTTAGAAAATTAAAATAGTTATTAACTCTAAACTTTTTTAAATGTCTATTATTACAGCGTTAAAGTCCGTTCCGTGTGTTTTCAACATTGATCGTGTAGAGTGACATAATAATAAGTATTACATATTGTACAAACTTAAAATTTATATATTACGTTATTGAGGTATTAGTTTTGATTAGTTATTATGGTTTCGCTTTCTGACCATTAAATTAATTTTTTTTATCTTAAATAAATTTAATTATGAACTCCGAAGGGTTGTCTCTAAAGTTTGATGCCTGTAATTTTTTTTTTACATTTTTAAATATTATAGTATTACTTTAGTCTTTAGTATTTGTTAAATATAAATGTTATAAAAAAAAATTGATCCACGATAAACATAACCAAATATGCACTAAAATGTACAAAATATGCGTTTTAAAATTATTATACATATTATAATGCATTAAAAATATGCATTAAAAAATAAGATTATTTGTGTGAATATAGTTAAGTATCTGTGCATAAATAAAATTAATAACCGGAAAATAAATCTAATCGGCAATCCTCGAGACTTATCTCTAGGAAAAAAATGGACGTGGGAACAGTCAACAACCATATTAATATGATCAAAATTTAAAATAATTTAAAATTCAACACTATTTTGGTTGTTTATTAATATTTAAATTAAATAAAAACGTCGAAGGCAAAAATACTGATAAAATGATAAATTATTGAAAACATGCATCTTAACGTATATAGAATCGAAGAAATATGCGCTAAACCCAAAATAACTCGAAACATGCATTTATATACAAAATAAAATTTCAAAACCAGCTTTGTTTCATCATGAAACGTATTTGTTTCTTACTCTGCTATTTTTGTGATCATGCAAAAAATATGCAAATGCTTTAAAAAAAAAAAACACATCATTGTAAAATCAATACATCAGAATTCAAAATGTTATTATGTTATTAATTAATAATAATACATAAGATACAAATTTTTATATTGAATAAAATAAAAAGATACATTTATTATTCGGTGTATTGTTTTTTAGTTTGTTATTATTATTTAATTATAATACATAATAAAGAAATTGGTATAATTAATAATAAAATAAATATATACTTATGCTACAATCAACAGAGTGTTTTGTTTTTTTTTAATAATCAGAATTGTATGGTTATAGAAAATAATTGGATGGGGGGAGGAGTAAATATGCTGCCTGGGGCGGACCTGGCTCTTTCTACGACATTGGTGCAGCCAGGGTGGGGACGACAACGACCACTTCCACCAAGGTAGTCTATAAAATGTCTCGCATACTGTCTCTCGCTATCACTGTGTAATTCGTGTGCCCGTATGTCGTTTCTGTTCACCAGTACACTTCCCAGCACGTTTATCTAGCCCATCTAGATATTATATTTTTGTTTCTGCTGTTTGTTTGACTTACATTTCTTACATTTTCTTGATTAACCTGCATAATATACAAAAGGCACAACCATGATGACGGCGATAGTACTAGTAATGACGTCGATTATTACTATGATTAGTGTTCCCGGAGAAGCTGCCGACTTGAGACAAAATAAGGATATTCTAGGAATTAAGTACCTACTTTGGGAATTTTCTCATTTCGTTATTTGTTTAAATAATTGCTTTTATTAACAAAACGGTTACATGCACAGCTAAAAGAGATTTAACTAAATTCGTGTAAGCTAGGTTAGATTAAATGCAAGTTAATTGCATGTAAGTGGCTTAGATAGAGATACTAAAGCCTTTTTATTTTTTATGTACGTATTCTTTACCTGAAATCGTTAAAAAAATATATAAAATAATTATGCGTACAATGTTTTAGACATATTATTTTTAAATCACCCATCTCCTCGTTCAACCACCACTGCTATTATGAATCATCTTAATACTGTTAAAATATATGACATTTTTTTTTTGTCGATAGGTATATTTTTTGTTTTCGAAAAAATATTACTATTTTAAATATTACTTTATGCACATTTATTATTTATTACTTGAATCCTTTTTTTATTTTATTATTATTAATACGACTGTGATCATTATCATTTATTTTATACACTTTTACACATACGTTTTTCATAAAACCGGTATAAATGTATAATGGTAATAATTCTGAGGAATAACTTATAAAGATCGAATACCCAAGAAATTATTATTATTAAATTAATATTTAAGTATTGTTTTTCTTTCAATTGTTATAATAATTTAATAGGTATTGCTAAAATTATTATTTTTGTATTGGCAGTTATTAGGGTGTTTATGAACGGCTGTGATTAATAATCGGTTTCAAATTTGTAGCGGTATCGATGATTATGCTGATTATCCACTTCACTACGGCAAATTTGACTTTTTTTATCAAAAACAATTTTACACAGGGATAAATGTTGGCATCATTATCAGAGTTTTGATTTTAAAATAAAAAATATTACCTATATGTATTGTACATATTTATTTTGATTTTTTTTCGAATGGCCTGTATTCAGTTTGATTTTTTCAACACATTTAAGGTCCTAACCTATTAGAAAACTTGATCCTACTAATTGCAGCTTTGATTTACTATGCATTACAGGCACTCCAGGAATCCAAGGTAGATGCCCAAAGATCGAATCCGCAGAATATCTGAAAGTAACCGCGATGGGTTCGGGTTCTTTGTTTATGGTTGGCTGTGCCTCCATCGACTACAATTCTAGTGACACTATGATACAATCATTCAACCTGTGGATTGGCAGTGTACAACACGGAGGTCAACGTTGCGATGACCAGGGTACGTGAAACAAATTATTATTTTGGTACAATTCAGGACTCGGCCCTGTGCCCGCTACTCTAAGAAGGTCCATCCCATTTAATAATAGTGTAAACATACCTTTGAAGTAGTTATATTACGAACTTGCTTTACTTACTGTACACCCAGTGGTCCATGCCAAATTCCTGTGCACCTATCCCGATAATTTATTTATTTATTATTATTAAGATTTGACGGACTGAACCCTTTAAACATTAGTGCATAACACATTATCATAACACTCCTAATTTTACATAATTTTAAATCAAGGTGGGCTATACCGGTCGGAAAGCGAAAATAAATAATATTATAAACACATTTATTGAACACAAGTTCACAAGATCACACGATCACCGCCACTGACCCTTTTCAGGTTCTTTTCGTATACTTCATAATATATTAATTTTATTAGTAGTCCTATCGTGTATGATATCGTAGACCTATTATACGTCTACTATATATCCATGTATGTCTTATTATAGTTTATAAATATGATTTAATAATACAAAATATTTACACCACAACTCCTGAATCAACTGTATTTATTTAATTGCCAGTGCGCGCCAATTCAGGCATGAAACATTTTCATTTTGACTGTCTGTCAGAATCATCCTCGCCGTCAGAAGACACCAACAATGGACCTATGTTCGTTAGGCTTAACGGTATAGCTACCAACAAGGGTGGAAGGCCAGATCAAAGATGTGCCGTAAGTATATTATTCCTACAACAGAGCTTATGTTAAAAAACATTTTAATTCGTTGTTAAATTAAGTAGATATGTTGCATTCTGGTTCACCTCGGTTTTTTACTAGGTCCAAATATGAATTTAAAACACTCCAACACCCCACAAATTTAACCATTTTTTGGTCTATTGCACTTTTGTATACGATTTTCAACAATTGCATACAGTTTTTAATCATGATTTTAATATCTAAGATCTAACGGAAAATGTTTTTGAATACAATTTAACGGGTTTCATTTATTTGATTCGAATTATTCGACGATGGAAAATTGAAAAATTGTTATTAAACTTATAAAAACAGATGACATTTCATATTATGAACAAAATAACAGATTATAAAATTATCTAACATTTATATCTATTTCTGAATTTTTATATAAGGATATGTGATTACAATAATGAGCATTGTCTATAAATCTATAATATAGACTAACCATCGATTATTTTTAGACTCTACTTCTATTTTTATCCAACTAGGTGTTTACATATTAAATAGAAAAATAAAACCACTGTTATGCAAAAAAAAGTATATACCCTGGGGGTCACAGTAAATTGTGTTATATTTTTAACTATTTTTTTAAAATTGTGTATCTAGTATATTTTAAGTACAGCCAAAATATTTTTAAATAACTTCATCTATAGTGATATTTTTGAAAAATCAATAAATATATATATTTTTTTAATTTAGAACCGAGAATAGAATTTTATGAATATTGTTTTTGCTGGGTTTATTGTATGTGATTAAAAACAATATCATTATAAATTAGTAAACATGTGCATGATTTTATAATTAATAAATAATTAAATAAATGTCTAAATAAATAATTTTTTTTTATATATTTTTTTGGTATAAGAATATGATTACGTAAGTTCCTAATGCCAATGTATTTTTTTCATAATTTTTCTCATTTTTGTTTCCTGACTTTTCAAACCAATACATGTATCACTTTTCATGTATTTTTTTTAATACCTTATGACGCAGTATTCATTTTAAAAATATTGGGTTTAATCTAGCTTCCCCTCGCAAAAAAAATTGCTTAAAAATTTAAATATTGTAAAAAATCAACCTACGAACACGAATAATGTTATTAGGCTTAAGAACCTCTTAGTTTGATGTATTAGATAAATTTATGGTCAATTAACGAAGCTATACTAAACGAAATGTGGAACGTAAATGTGTTGTAACTTATAATATACGACGTGGTACGCATTCGCATGACAGAGATACCAAAATGTTGTGTACGTAGCGGCGTTATTTTATCCCTATTTTAAATATTTTATTAAATGTTTATTTTTGTTCTAATAACAGTAGTAGTAGCTTTTTAATGCAACGTTTAGAATTATATTTAATTATAGGCGCAATTTGGAAGGTGCTAAGTTTTTAATGGTATCGTCAAATTTGTATTGTTTATAATATTATATCATAGGCATTATAATAAATGTATTACTAAGACATCATTTTCATAAGAATATTAATAATAATAATACATTCATTATGTTGTACGAGGTAGGTAACTGTTTATATTAAGGGCCCCTCAAACATTTTATTTTTAAGGAATTGTGTTGAGGTAATTATTTCGTTCCTTGCGGTCACTGCTTGTATTTGTGTGTAGTACCTAAATAATCATTATTGTGTGTATACTTCCCACCAAACACACGCATCATACATATTACACAATCTAATACAAATTTCATGTAGTCATTAGGTCACAACATTCAAAATAAATTTAAGGGCTAGAAATAGATGTACTCCTAACAAAATTGCAAGTAATTAAAATGATCCGATTAAAAAATGTAATGTAATGTTTGGACTTATAAACAATATATTACTTTGCATTAATTGGAGCTCATATATATTTTAGAAAATTTCTGGCACCACAGTCGTCTACAGCATAAAAATCAAAATCAAAAAGATCATTTTAAAGTAGACAAATACTATAGAATGGCATTAAGGAATAGGCAACATTTGTAAGTACGAGATAAATAATCATGTACTAGAGGCATAAGCATTATACACGGAGCACTATGGTGAGCGGTGCAGTGGCGGAAGTTGTTTTGAATACGCGACTGGTCATGATCTTAACGTGCGCCGAGTAGGTATACATGCGTGTTTGTGTGTGTGTGTGTGTGTGTGTGTGTGTGTGTGTGTGTGTGTGTGTGTGCGTGCGTGTGCGTGTGCGTGTGTGTGAGAGAGAGAGTGTGTGTATCAAGAATGTTTATCGGCAGCCCTCTGAGCCGCTGGGGCATCGTATTTCTATACGGATATTTGACTCTGTGGGTGGCTAGTAACAGGTGTTGCCCGCTACCCGGCAAAAACTGGCTGCCGCCGAAGTTACTTGTTTTGGATAGAGTATAGTCTGTACTATATTTTATTTTACTCCTTATTTACGTAGTTTTTAAAACGTAGTACAACAACGTTCAAGGTCCACTAGAATCGTACCCAGGGTTGTTGCCAACTGTGTAATATAAGACAGTTGTTTTCTTATTATTTTATACCACAATTGAATAAACAATATAACCAACAGAATACAACTTAATGATAACTAGGTAACAAAAAAAATCTTATACATTTTATTTCTATTTTATATCATCTGTACTAAATAAGCTTTTGGCTTAACCTTTAAATAATTCATTGTACAGCATATCATGTAAATTAATAGTAAGTAACAAATGTATGATTGTAAGAATATTTGTAAAAACATATTTTAAAATTATAAACATGACTTTTAACAAATAACAAGTAACAAAAATAATCATTAAAAATAGTATTACTTTTTGTTGTTCTCTAACTTAATTAAATCTTTATCATTTTTAACAAACTTAGAAAATTCAGTATTTTTTATAATTGAAATAAATCAATAGTTAAACTCTTATATGATAGCTATTAAACACCAGCTATTCTTCTTATGTCTGAATCTCTATTCAATTTCTATTTAATTAATATTCATTAATCTATAATTAACTTTCGGTTAATGTTAATAAAAATGAAATCTATAAAACAAAAAAACTTTTCACTTTTCTGAAATAGTTTTCACTTCCTCCTAGTCTTTTGCCTGGATAATTTTTACAACATACAATTAGTGATTAAAGATAAATCAATAAAATTAAAAATAATCATAATAGTAATGCAATATACATTGATATTTTTGTGAAATGAAGGATCCTGTAAAAAGTTTAAAACATTATTGAACGTAGGACAAATTTAACAGATGTAAGTATGCTACAACTGTTGGCAACCCTAAATTTGTACTGTCTCCGCCCTCACCTGCCACATCCGTGTGACCACATTCCAATGTCTCGTCCGACCCTCTTTTACCCAGAAGCGACTACATATTTTTCTTGTCGTCGTGTATTCGGGTGGGTCTTAGAATTTCTTGGTAACGATATTTTATACGGTTATATCGTTGCGTTTGTTTGCAGATAAGTTAAAAAATAACACTGAGAAAAAATAATACACAAGGTTGCCATACGATGCAACGATATCAAATTTATAAAATTTCACAATTTTCATCATAAATCTAATAAATATCCATAATATAATTTTATATTAAGTCAAAAAATATTATTGATGCAATAATAACACTTATATTTGAATTCAATCATTTATTTTAGGTACACATTAAAACAAACCGTTAAAGAATTGTAAAACAAAAGATATTTTATTTTAATTTAATTATATACTGTTATTAGTGTAATTTATTATTCTATTGCTCTATAAAATGTCGTCCAAATTTAAACTTAAAATTAAAAAAAAACGTTTTGATATTTATTCTTTATTATCAGCTTCATAAAAAATAGCCACAAATCTTTGAAGGTTTCTTTGGTTTTACTATAATTTTTTCATATTCTGCAACTGGCAATCATTTAAAAACTCGGAAATAGTGGATACAATTGTCTTATCTTATCATTAGGGTTAGATGTTTATGACCTTAAAAACACTAAAAAATGCATGCAAATATGCTCAAAAAATATCAAAATATGCCCTCGAAAAAAAAAATATAATTTTAAAATGTTATTAAAATTGAAAAATGTATTCTAAATAAATAATGTGCACTGTTCTGGCACACCTCAGTTTTTACTAAACCAATTCCAAATAACACTTCATATATAAAATATAATTTTCATAAAACTCCGAAACCCTCTATTTTAACCATTTTATTTGTTAATATACGACACTTGTTTGTATGCGATTTGCGATTACATACCATATTTAATACATTTTTCTAGAAAATTACGTGTTTTTAATCATTTTAATTACAATTGATAATGTATTAGAACTTCTTGGGAAACTCTTGCCAATCCTAATTTTCAATTCTAAAAATCGCATACATTTATAAATTCTAATTTTAAAGAGGTCGAATAATCTGACAGCGTCAGATTTAGTAGCCTATATATTTTTATCATAAAATTATGTATTTTATACATCAAATTCATTATGTGCCAGAGTGTATGGCCGTACGACTAAAGCTTATAATAATAGTAAAAAATATTGTTTATCTGTTTTATATTAAAGTGAATAAATATAAATATATTTAACAAATTATTGTAAATTCTAATGCATTTTCCGTTCAATATTAAAATGTTTTATAACATGCAATTTTTATACAAAATGTATACAAAAAAATACTGAATATTCACCAAAAAAATAGTTCAAATATGGGGATTTGAAAACATATGTTGAACTATTTAAAAACTGAGATGACCAGGATGAGTATAACATGATATATAATAATTGTGTATACTAAATTAACTTTAATTCCATTTTTTCAACTCCTTATAATCAATTTACGTTTTCATATTCTTCATGATATAGAGGTAGTTATATTTTTTTCAAAAGAAATAATAATATATTTACATTGACGAATATGAATGATTTTATTAGTAATTTTAATTATTTTGTATTTTATAATTTATATTTTACCTATTTTTGAGTTATGTAATTTAATTGTGTTATAATATTTAGTTACATTTTTTATGGAACTACACATATTTCTGTATTATTCTGTAGACTGTAAAGAGTTAAATTTTATAATAACTATAATTTGTTTTATAGATTGTCTTAATATGAACTGTATTTTCCAATATCTGCAATACAATATGTGTTGAAATAATATAATTGTATAAATTCGACTATATTTTTTATTAACATTTAAGCTATTAGATATTTATACAAATTTGCATACGTAATAATATTTCAAAAATTATTTATTTATTTGTGTACACAAAATGTACGAATATGATATAATTTTGGTCTAGCGACAGAATTAACCATTTGATTTAAGATACTTGCTTCCCTGTAATCTGAGCTTGGTTACATAACATTGATTCTCATTCTCTCGTCTTTGCAACCGCAGTTGTACGAGCCTGCCAGCTGGAACGCCACTACATTCCGGATGGCGGTTAGCGGAAACGCTTCCTGTGATGGCTTGTCAGACATGCTGTACCACCCGCAGCTAATGATCCCTAAGACCAAGAAAGGGTCCATGTTGATGCTATCTAACCCACAGCTGATAATCCCTGAGTCCAACAAAGGATCCATGTTGATTCTGTTGAACAGGGCCAGATTCTACACTCCATCAACATCACCACCGGTTGATACGACAACCACTGAGTCAATGGATACGGTAATCTGGAAGGCACCGGATTGCATTCTAAAGGATTTAGAAAGTCAACCCAACCCGAGTCCAGTGGTTCAAGATAGTGGCAAAAGGTTAGTTTTCTCAATGCCTCACCACATTTTATTATATGTAGTAGTATAGAACCTATAACGTTTGGATACATTATGGGTTGATTATTGTATTGTTCTCAGAATAGTTTTATAGAACTATAGAAGTGGGGCTTCCACCAGATTTAACATGATAGGTAATCATTTCTTGTATCTAAGTTAATGATATTCAACTAAGATTTAAATGTTAATACTTTTTACAAAAAAAAATGCATCGATAACTATAGCTAAATAATTCAAATTTTGTCAATAGTTATAGGTCCTTATTCCGAAAACCTTAACTACTAATCAATACATTATATTTCCATTCTTGGTGAAAGATTTCAATACTGATCGACATTTAATACACGAGTTATTCATACACACGAAAACTTTTTTTACTTCAATTAAATATTAGGAATTAATCAAATATGAAACACTGCTATACGATTGAATTTCATTCAAATTATCTACTAATTTTCGTTACGAGTACCTAGTCACTAATTGTTGTCCATTGATGTTAGAACAGTCCTATTTGTGCATTTGTGTTCTGTAGCAGTAAATATAAATAATAAATATGCTCATAAAAAAAATATGTTTGCGTGAATCTATTACTCTTTATAGAAATATATTTAAAGTTTAATTTGTATAGGTAATTTTTACATATTCAAATGTAGAAATAGTGCATTCAGCAACTCGCAAATCTACAATTTAGTGTTTAGAATACATATTTATATATCTTCAAATAATTTTTACGGATATTTTTTTTTATACAAAATAGTAATATTATACTCAAAACAAAATGTATATTCTGCTTGTGTGATTCACATTGGAGCAAAATTGATTTCACTAGAGTACTAGACTTTATATTAAACTAATGAACTGAATATTTTATGAAAAAATATTGATATTTTAAGTCTCAACACCCTTACTGATTCCATTACCTATCTAAATAGTATTTTCTTTATATAGTGGTGTAAATGACGAACGTGGTTCTCAGTCAAATGAGAATAGCAAAGTTGATGTCACCAGTATGTCTACTACCGAGGACAACAATAGATCACGCCTACCACTTCCAAATCCGGTCATGGAAATACTCTTGTCATTAGAGTCCAGGCGTAAGCGCTCATTAAACCTAACATACACAGATTATTCAGGTTTCAGCTGGATTCAAGGTTTTTAACAAAAATTTTGTAATTTTTTAAACATTTTGTATCCTTACCTGGACAGTGGACATAAATAATGATTATAAAAATATAATAAATAATTAATACCTACAGTGTTTGTTCTAAGTTTTATTTTAACAGCATTCAAATAACCTTTATATTTTTTCTTTGTAGACGGTGTAATATTTGTTTTTCAATATATGTAGATTTCGTTTTAGTATTCACAAACTATTGAGAAAAAGTAAATACAATAAAAACATTGCATTCAAAAATAATATTAATATTGTAAACTTAATTTACTCGATCCCGTTTACTATCATACTATATTTAATTTAGTTATAAATGCATCAAAATTATTTTTATAATTTATATAATCTTCGTTATCAGTACTCGATAACCGTGTTAGGTACTAATTACTTCACTTACCCGTACTCACAAGTTTGGCTACATTTTGTGACAACGAAAAGGTTTTATTGTTCACTCAAACGGTCGATTCTAATTCCGTCAGTGCATCCAGCAAACCTACTCCGATTTACATTCTGGAAAGATATTCAAACTCTCCATAATATTTATAAGGAATGGACGAAGCAAATTTGTAAAATTATTTTTAGTTACTTAATCCTAAATAATTTTTGAAATTTTTGAAATATCTTAATCGTATCTATTTTAATTACGATGTGGCTTGGCAACTTATTCTTAATTGTTATTAATGTAAGAATCACACATAAGTATTTTTTAATAATTCATTGAATTTGTTAGGATTTCATAAATTATTTTATGAATCACTCGGGATACATTTTGAAATTTTGTATATTTACGTTTTACTTTATATTGAAAATTAAAATTCGATCACTCTGTACAGTATACTCAATATCATATTACATTTATAATTAAAAGTAAAATAGCTGTATAATAATCCGAATTATTGTACTGTATTTGTAGTTGATGTCTACAATGTTTATAACCATATGTTACAAGAGTCATTTTATATATTGAACGAATATATAAATAAATACATAAATATGTACATTTATATACATATACACCCAACCTATATTTAGTCCTGCGGCTTTCAGTAAAAGACGTTTACGGTCTAAATTCAAAAATATGAGTTATTATTATTATCGATAATCCCTTAAGAGTGGTCCTTTCTGTACCCATGTTTCCATAAATAAGTAGAGGGTTGACAGCAATACATGAGAACGGCACATGTTCACGGCTTACTAGGAAAAAATTTCATTGTCTGTGCATTGGCCACGACCCACCCCAACATATTATTTCCAGCTCTTTAAATTTCTAAAACCGACCGTCTGTCACTAATTCGTAGCAGGTAGGTACACTATCTTAAAGTATATAAAAATCACAGTATTTGATATTTCGTAGGTATTGTATTATATAAATGCTGCAAAACATCAGATACGACCCTCCAAGACGACGCCTGCGAGTTCTATAGAAATAGCGGGGGTCAATTTATTTTACTTATCACAGCAGGATAAGAATAAAGGAACAAAAATAAAAGAAACACCAAAATCGTGTTTTTCTACTAAACCGTGTTCTTAAACAAGGGGTGCAGCTGTCCGCCAGTCTGACGCCATATACCTACTGAGTGCAATAACCGATTTTTGTTCAATGTTGTACAAATAGAATGTTGTCTGTCCAAATAAAATATATTATGGAATTAAGGTAGATACCGTTTTAAGAAGTTTTAAGAAAACGCACGCCGTGGGCGATGCCAACCATAGATAATATCATTGTCACCGTCGCGTAGTCCAAATTTATAAACCGCTGTATGGTAGCCGAAAAGTAAAACGCTTAAATGTCGTTTGTACATTATTCTCTATGTATTGTTGTACTCGAATGGCGACGGGTCTACGTGATCGGCGGCAGGATTCTTAGTTGATATATTTACAGGGTGGTTCATTTAAGAGGGCACACTAATTATTACAAAAAGTACTAAGTATTTTTTATTTTTTATTTAGATTTATGCTTTTCTAAAACTGTATAATATTTAATTTTTTTCAATCTTATATTTATTGGTGATACCTATTTCAATTTTTGATTTTCAAATAGGAACCTATAGAAAAAAGGTCATAAATTGGTAAACAATTTTTTTATGCATTAAAATTTTAATTTTATTTGATTTGGTTTGCGAGATACAGTTCCTCAAAGTCAGTAGTGCTACAAATATCTAATCATAAGAATAACCATTTGTCATAATTACTAATTACTAATTAGTCGACAGGCTAACAAAATGATTTGGATTCCAAGTACAATAGTTATCACTTGTTAATTGTTACCTTGGGTTGAACATTATCGAATTTATCACTTATAGCTCCTGCCGCTCCTGGTCTTTACAAATGAATAAATAGTATAATCAACACCTCCTTCAACCATCAAACTTTGAGGAGCTGTATCTCGCAAACGAAATAACGAAAAATAAAAATGATAATGCTTACATTTATAAATAAAATGGTTTTTTTAACTTATGACCTATTTATTATATGTTTCCATTCGAAAATCAAAAGTTGATAGTGGTTTCGCCAATAAATATGAGGGTGAAAATTGTTTAATATTATGTAGTTTTAGAAATCTAAAAGTTTTAAAAAAAAGTCAATACTTTTTTAAATAATTAGTGTAAACTCTTAAATTTATCACCCTGTATACTACTCATCGCAGCAACAAAACTGTCGTTGTGTTACTTTGGGTAGGTTGTTGAGGGTAGGCACACCTTACTGAACATTTTGTTACAATTGATATATACTACCTTTATATGCGTATAATATGTGAACCTTTTTATGTTGATAATAATGAAATCATTCTTGACGATCGATAATCCAAGTGCCGCCACCACATATTGATCGCATTGAGTAGAAATTAGAGTTGATTGCATGCTGAGCGGCCTCGGTCGGTCAACTGTTCATCCCTCCACAAGCAGTTTTAGTCAGAATTTACGCCTTTATTTCTATCCAACTGTCGATTTTAATATTTTTATTTTCTATTCCCATTTTTTAATACTAAAAACTACCTTGTTGTACTGAGGACCGACCACCTGCGGCCACGACAGATCACGCATCCATCCTTACTAGACCCTCTTGACAGGGGGCCCAGAAAATGTTTTTTCTGTTTATATTACTAAATTAGTCCAAATTTTTAGGCTGGTACCAAATACTTACTATTAAGAAAAAACAATAATTTTATTCATAAGTTATAAAATAGTATTAAGTTATTGATGCTAATATTTAGCGCTATGTCCTACGTAAATATCGCAAATGTGGAAAGAAAAAAACCATGTAATTTAATACAACTATTACAATTTACAATTCGGTACATTTATTTCCGCTTTAACTCTAATAATATAAAGTTTGCTTCAGGTACCACTACGATAATTTATCGTCAATAATGATCTCGATAGCGAAAAACTATATAGCAATAGACTGACAGACCATTATGGACTAACGGTTTAGTTTTTACACAACAGTTCTTCGCGATAGTATGTGTTCGTGTTTCTAGGTAACTTAGAAATGTTATAAAAATATACTAGATTTATTTCAATCGATTTTCGTTCATCACTTTTTATTTAGATGAGTGAATGTTCAAAATACAACATACATTATGCAAAATACAGTTAAATTATTTAAACTAGTCATTTAATTCATTTTTTTGTTCCATATTAATTATTTAATGAAGTATACACATTTTCAAACTAAATAAATTTAACTAACATGCACTTTTGTTTTCATATTTTTGCATATTTTAAGGGCATATTTGAATGAAAATCAGTGCATAAATGCTTGCATATTTCGTACATTTTTAGTGCATATGTTACCGTAAATGCCCGATCACTAGGTAAACCTAGGTTTTACTTGTCAATGCTAGGTTTTACTGTTTGTACTCAGTAAATGCTGAAATTCTAAATTTTATTCGGGCTTTTACTAAACACGTTGTGTACATCCTAGGATATACAAATTGACTTAGTAAAAGCTGATCAATTGTCAATACACGACACATAACATTTAATCTGCGTAAAAATTATAATTATATATTATTAAAACAAATTACTGACAGTTATTTAAATTCTTTATACAAAATAAAAATAATTTAAAAACAGAATTATTAAAAATTAATAAAAAATTTGATTTATTAATTTATTATGATTTATCCGATCCCTACCACCATGTCCTGATTCAATATGAGCTGCGTGTATAATATCAAAAAGTTCGTCATTACATACGTAGTATCGAATATCTTCAGATCCACTTTTACTGGAAAAATAAGTTTGTCTTCATTCTCAACTCAAAGAACATCAAAACGTTTTAATATCCGATAGTGAATTGATTTTTGACGGCGATTGTTTTTGCTTTCTTCACTTCTTGTAAATACGTATTGTACATTTCAGTGTATTACTAGAATCTTTTTTTTTTAATTATTGGATTTAAAACGTCATAAAACCTTTCTATATTAGCCATATTAAAGTCAAATTAACAATGAAAATAAATATAATTAAAAATTACATTAATTAAACACAATTCAATATATTAAACACTACGCGCACAACACATATTACACTGTTCTACAAATGGATCCGTCTATCACGTAAAACTCAAACAAACTGAACATGTACCTAATAAAACCATATTTAAGCGATAAAGTATCCGTTAGTGCCACCAATCAATTAATATCAGTCAGCTATTACTAAGTTATATCTTGATATAGTTGTATAATATTAATCTTAAACCAGATAAAATGCGAGTCCCTGCAACACATTGCAGTCGTGAATTTATCTTCGCAAAATAATTGTTATTAATCGTTGCAAGCAAAAATGTTTGAGGTGTGATTACAACTTAAGATGCATTTTTATTTTGTATAAAGAATTTAAATAACTGTCAGTAGTTTGTTTTAATTATATATAATTATAATTTTTATGCAGCTTAAATGTTATGTGTCGTGTATTGATCAGCTTTTACTAAGTAAATTTGTATATCCTAGGATGTACACAACGTGTTTAGTAAAAGCCCGAATAAAATTTAGAATTTTAGCATTTACTGAGTACAAACAGTAAAAGCTAGCATTAACTAGTAATAAAACCTAGGTTTACCTAGTGATCGG